TATACCTACGATACGACGCCCCAGCAGAAGTCAAAGCTGCGGGTGACCTCACAGGCAAAGTCGGCCGCATTGGTTCCATGGCCCTCATCGCCTTTTCCATCATCACATTCGTCATGTCTGTTCTCCTGCCTTTCTTCGTACAGAGCCCAGAAGAAGACGAAAAGGGTCCTGGCTTCTCTCGCTCACCTAAGCAGTTAACGGGACTGGCGAAATACAAACCAAGCCTGCTTACCGCGTGGACAACTGCGCATTGTATCTTTGCAGGAAGCATGGTCATGGCACCTTTTGTGAGAAGTTTGAGGCACGCAACCATCATCATTGCTTGCTGTGGCGTGTGAGTAACCACCATCATTACATCACGCATGAAGCCTGGATTAACACAACACAGATCATGGTCCGTCGCCTGCTGGGCTCCTTTCGCCTTCCTCGGCGTAGAAATCAACCGCCTCAATACCTCCACCTCGCACTCTGCCCACCCAAAGCGCACTTCCATCGACCTTCCCGAAGCGCAATCCAACCTCGAAAAGGGCAGCGCGCCTTCCTCCAGCGGCGGAGCAAGCTCAGGGCAATACCTCGGCATCATGAATCTGTATACCACGCTACCTCAGTTCATGGGCACAGGGATCTCGTGGGTAGTGTTTTCCATCCTGGAGCCCGGGAAAAGCCCGGAGCTGAGCGAGGCGCCGCCAGAGGAACACCACAAGACGGATGGCCCGAATGCGATTGCGGTTTGTCTGTTCATTGGGGCTTGTTCGGCGTGTATGGCCGTTGTGGCTACGAGGAGGTTGGGGAGGATACAGGGAAGACTGTAGAAGCATCATTGCCATGTCCATGTCAAAAGGTTCAGTTCTTGCTTCACGATTGCAACTGCCGGAAATAGTGTGCTTGCACAGGCCGCTAGTCGCCAGTAGAGAACATGACTCTTGGTGACATCCACCCCCAACATGCTGCCATCCGTGGTTGCCCAGGGGCGCTTTCCGCTTTTGAGTTTAGGCAAGCGCGATGGAGCCAGAGAGATTTTGCTAAGGGTTTGCTAAGGATTTTCCAGAGACCCGCTTTGTTCTAGAAGGCAGGTGTGGCTACTAATCGAAGCTGACGCTGATCGGACGTGTGTAGAGATCGTATTCGCTCCAGGGCGGCCGTGGCGGTATACAGCACCTCAGTGTAAGTACGGTGTGCGCAATAGTTCAATCGGGGCATTTTCCGGCCGGCTTTGGGCAGGTCGGAGGAAAAGGCTCGTCAACCAATGCGATGAAAAATATGCGCTCCCCATGTCCCCTCTCCCAGTACCGGCGGGCAAGGTCGGCCGTGGCCACGGTGCAGGCAGTCGACGTGGTAGACTACTGCGCGCACAAGCAAGTGAGGTATCGCCGCCAGATAAACTTGAATCGCCCGTCTACAGTGTCGGAGAGATGCAAGGCAGGGCACACGTGCCACGCCTCTGCGCAAAAGACGGTCAAGGTACAAATAGACACGCCGCCCGCCTCTGCCTCGCGCACTGCATCTCTCCCCGTCCACGGCAGCGTCGATAGTCTCGGTGGTCGCAAAGGCTTTGTTTGTTGCCGTCTCGCAGTGTCCGGTTGGAATTCGCACTAGGCGTGACTAGTGCCGTAGAGGGGCGACCTTGCCTTGCCCAGCGCCTGTTCTTCTCGCTCAGCCCGCCGAACAATTCTGCGGCTCACCCACAACATCCACCTTTTGCACCCCAACTCGCCACTCGCAGTCCGACATCACTCATTTGCCAAGATGTCTGAGCCGATCCGCAATAAGAAGATGGACTCCATCTCCGCCCCGTAAGTCGCTTCCCTCCCCTCCGCCACACAATTTTGGCCTCGCCCAAACACCACCATCACACACCCCCAACATGGACGTACCCCATTCTAACGTGCGCCCTGCCAGCACCCCCCAGAACACACCCGCCAATGCTGCGCCCATATCGTCGCGCGCCCAGCAGCCCGGCGTCAGCAGCATCAAGGAAGGTACGTCGCACTCTGCCACGCTCCTGCCCCTCCAACCCCGCCTTGTATTCTCGTCAAGGCCTTGACCGCTAACTCGCTTTTTCGCAGAGGAACTAGAGCGCACTGCCGCCGGTCTCTTCGCTGCCAACCCCGCCCTCGTCGCCATGATGCAGAACAAGCTCGGCTCGCTCGTCGGCCGCTCCAGCGGCTACATTGAGTCGCTGCCTGCCTCGGTCCGCCGCCGTGTTGCCGGCCTCAAGGGCGTCCAGAAGGAGCACTCCAAGCTCGAGGCCGAGTTCCAAGAGGAGGTCCTGCAGCTCGAGAAGAAGTACTTCGCCAAGTTCACACCGCTATACCAGACCCGTGCCAAGATCGTCAACGGCGCCGAGGAGCCCTCAGAAGATCGCGTCAAGGTCGGCGAGCAGGTAGACGAGGACGACGAGGATGAGGACCAGCCCGAGGCTGAGCTCAACAAGGACGAGGGCAAGGACGTCAAGGGTATCCCAGAGTTCTGGCTCAGCGCCATGAAGAACCAGATCTCGCTCGCCGAGATGATCACAGACCGCGACGAGGCTGCTCTGAAGCACCTGACCGACATCCGCATGGAGTACCTCGACCGCCCCGGTTTCCGCCTCATCTTCGAATTCGAGGAGAACGAGTTCTTCACCAACAAGACCATCACCAAGACCTACTTCTACCAGGAGGAGAACGGCTACGGCGGCGACTTCATCTACGACCACGCCGAGGGTGACAAGGTCGACTGGAAGGCCGGCAAGGACCTGACCGTTCGCATCGAGAGCAAGAAGCAGAGGAACAAGAGTGAGCATCTTGACATCTGTCGGTATTTGACTAGCAACTAACTTTCTCAGACACCAAGCAGACCCGCGTCGTTAAGAAGACCGTGCCTACAGAGTCGTTCTTCAACTTCTTCGACCCACCCAAGCCCCCACAAGACGACGACGACGCCACCTCCGATATCGAGGAGCGTCTCGAACTCGACTACCAGCTCGGTGAGGACATCAAGGAGAAGCTCATCCCCCGCGCCATTGACTGGTTCACCGGCGAGGCTCTTCAGTACGAGAACATTGAGGACTTCGACGAGGGCGAGTTTGAAGACGAGGACGATGAGGACGAGGACGAGCTCAGCGATGACCGCGACGAGGAGGAGGAGTCAGACGACGAGGTAAGCAGTCCAAGTCACTCTACAGAACACAGCCATCTAACGCAGTATCAGAACGATGGCACAAAACCAAAGCAGGAGGCTGCTGAGTGCAAGCAGAGCTAAATGCTGCACCAAAATACTCTCGCATTCCCCAGATCACAATATCCCCAGTCGTTTTGAGCGGCATGTTCGGTCCAGGCTAGCCTCCTAGTCGCCTTCCATCACACTGAGATGTCTTTAAAACGACTCTCTGCGTCCGATATTTCACTTTACGATTTCTTACTCGGCGTAATACTGCATCAAAAGAGTTCAGGGGTGTTCGTTCGGCAATGGTTGGTTGGAGCTCTCTCTGGACTAGATATCTTAAGAACTACTCAGTTCTCCCCCTCCCCCCACCACTTCTTCCCGCCCCTCCAGACATTTGCTCGAATAGGTTCCTGGATTCTTGCCACCAACGATCACTAGCATCTAAGGCGTTGTCTAGGTGGGGTTTTGCAGCATGTTTCCTTGGGTCAGGCATGTCATGTTTACGAGGTTTTTTAGACGGCGTAAATAGTCTTGAGCGCATGTCACGGGTCAATGAAAGAAAAGTTTGAAGCCTCACTTTTGGGTAGTAGTCAGTGTGACCTGTATGATTTAGATGTGATGCTCAACCTCGGTAGGATTATGCGATAACGGTCGCCTCACCTCGCTATCTAGCCTACCACGTCTCGCTTCCAGGAGCTGACGTATATGCTTTGCTTGTCTACATATCCTTGCACCCAGCGTCATACCTGAGATGTCGTGCGTGTGCTTCCCTTGGGGGTCCATGTCAAGATGCGTAGTGCGGGGTGGTGGGGGTTGTGCCGGGTGAAGTTCGGGCGTCGAAAAATAATTCTGGAATGCGACATCATCGGACGCGCCAGAGCACTTTACGCTACACCACACTATACCTCTCTGACGCCTCAAACTCCTCTCCAATTACCGCGCAAAGCGTATCTGCTACCTGAGAATCGGATATACTCGGCTATCCCATACATCGCCGCCCGCGCAACCCCCGACACCCTACGCGATCTCTCCACGCGACCGACTCTGCGACGAGCCTCCACAACACCATGGCGCGCCAAAACCCCAACATCGTTATCACGGGCACACCTGGAGTAGGAAAGACGACACATGCAGAGCAATTAGCGCAAGCAACAGGATTCCAGCACATCTCTGTGAACCAAATAGTAAAAGACGAAGGCTACCACGAGGGCAAAGACGAAGAAACAGGGAGTTGGATTGTAGACGAAGACAAAGTACGCATAGCCACTAGCCACCCCATTCCAGCCAAACCCTCCGAACCACATCACTAACCCCACCCCTTTAGTTGCTCGACCACCTAGAATCCCTCTCCCTCGCCGACAAAGGCGGCTACATCCTCGACTGGCACGCGTGCGACCTCTTCCCCGAGCGCTGGATCGACCTCGTCATCGTGCTGCGCTGCGACTCGACGTTACTGTACGATCGCCTTACCGCGCGCGGCTACAAGGGGAAGAAGCTGGAGGAGAATATGGATAGTGAGATTATGCAGGTGTTGCTTGATGAGGCGAGGGAGAGCTATAAAGAGGAGATTGTGGTCGAGTTGAAGAGTGAGAGTAATGAGGATGTGGAGGGGAATTTGGAGAGGGTGGAGCGGTGGGTTGAGCAGTGGAGGAGGGATAGACAGGAGTAGGGGGTTGGGTGGAAGATGGGTGGGTGGGGACTGAGAATGGACGGATGGATGGGATATGTGTGATGCGTTATGTGTTATGATACCAATACGGCATTTATGAGATGATGATGGTGGGTGTGGTGGCTTCATGCCCCGCCCGATGCTCTCCATTGAGAAGTATGAGCACAATGATGATTGTTGAGCTCTACGCCCCAGTCTTCTGACTCGCCAACCATTCTTTCAACTTATCCAGCGCCTTCGCTCGATGGCTAATCTTGTTCTTCTCGCTCTTGTCCATTTCAGCGTATGTCTGACCTTCGTACTCAAAGCATGAGTCCCAACCTATACATGCTATCAGCCTCTTCCTCCATTACACAACCCTCCAACACACTTGAAAGGAAAGGCGCGATTTGCTGACTTACCGAAGACGGTAGATCCCCGACTTTCCACCAACTTCCCGTCGGTACGGCCTTGGAAGAGGATGGCTTCGTGGCCGGGGCCTTCGCAGTACCCAAATGTGCATACGGCTTGGGCGGATTTGTCGTCGAAGCCTGAGAGCATTTTGTGTAGGTTTGGGGCGCCGAGAGAAAGCATGAACCATTTGCTAGGGAGGGAGGTTAGATGGGTGGGTTTGAAGGACAAGAAGCGGATGGGAAAGATTAGGTGACATGAGATAAGGGAGGATATGGGCGTACATGTAAGGGCCAGGCAGGTCATTCATGGCTTTGAAGCAGAGACATGTGTCTTCTACAAGGACGGGGCCTTGTACCTATTATCAATCACATCGTCAGTGTTTGTAGAAGACTTTCTCTTTGGCATCACGACTTACGGCCTCGGCTGCTCTCCGTGCTTTGTCTTTTGTGACTTCCTCAACTGTGCCTTGGATTTCGACCAAATCGACATTTTGGTTGCGGAGCTCGATTACGCCGGAGAGGATGGCTTGAACTTCGGCGAGCTTGTTTTTGTTTCCCGTTATGAAGTTTAGGGTGGTGGGGATGCGGGAGGATGCCATCTTTGTGAGTTTGGAAGTGGAGATTGGGAAGGCTTTAGTTTGATGAACTTTAGCAGACTTTGTCAGCTAAGACTTATCTCGCAACTATACACAAAGTTCTGTATATACCTATTGAAGTTCAATACAGGTTTGAATGACTAGAGCAGAATTAGTCATTTTGCAAATGGAAAGGGCGCTGATGGAAAGAGCGGTATCGACTCGGCCGACAAAGGGCGTGCAATGCCACACTTCAGACCAGCTAGAGGGCTGAGCAACGTACATTGTCAGTGCTGATAACTAAGCACTCGTCTTACACCGCGATGTTGCAAAATCTCTGTCCAACGGCATCGTGATAGGGCTGAGGGGTCCTTCAATAAGCGAGCTAAGCAGGGATCAACGGTCTAGTGCCTGCATTGAATGTTACCGTGGCCTACAGAACATCACGTTCAGCCGCATCAAATCACACCCTGCAAGGTTCCCGAGTCCCTCAAAAACGGTTATCGCCGTCTTTATCGACTGTTTGCGACTTCAAAGCCCTGAGCTCGCCGAGCAAGAGCCTCATGGGGTGAGGCTGGGGACATCATTCGATTCTTATTCACGACTTCACCGCGCCCGACACTCCCTCTGCAGTTGTCCGCACGACCTCACCGGACTCTGGACATTTTCCGTTTTCGTCATTCGGGGTAGAGTCATCGCCGAGCACGGCCCTGGACTGTTGGTTTCGTCACCGCCAGTATGGGTTCCCTCAGGACTCTGTTCCTGAGCGTGTATGCCTCGAACAGCGTTATAAGGACGTTGTTTCTGCCATTATGCTACACCACACTATTCAGCCCGTTCATACTCGCTCTAGCCTGGTACTTTGGATTCGGTCAAACTTTGCAGAACTCTATACCCGAAGACTTTTCCTGGTTCGATCTGCTACCTGCATTTGCAATTTCAGCAGTCTTTGTGTTGCTACCGACTAGGCTACTTTCAAGTCCAGGAACAGTTACCAAAAGCCAAGATGGGAAGAGACGGGTACAATCGCTGCCATACTGGATACCCGGGGTACGCCACCTCTCGAGCATCGCATTTGGAGGCGAGGAGTGGTTAGCCAGCATTCGGTAGGTGTACTCACAGCGTACGTGGATTTATCTGACCCAAGACAGTGACTCTGCAACCGCAAGCATAGTGGCGTACAAAGCTGCTGGAACCAAACACAGCGTCTTATTATCGGAACCCCTACTTGACCAGCTCTACAACAAATGGAGTGACCTGGAGCTGACAGACAACAACCAACCAGCTATCCTCCGAAACGCCTTCAGCCTACCGAAAGCCATGGAAAGTCATTATCTCGAGCTGCAAAATGAGATCAACCAGGTTGTCAAAACGGAACTGTACGACGAAGCAGCCAGAGACAACTTGATTAAAGCATCGCTGCGCATCTTGACCGAATCGCTTCCAGACCTCGTCACATTCAACTCATCAATCGTCGATCAAATGCAATGGGAGCGTGTCTCAAACGTGGAACTTACGGACGGAACCTCGGAAGCCGAATGCGATCTCTTCACACTCCTCAATGAGTTCTGCTGCAATGCTATCCTGCCCCCAATCGTCGGAGCACAGTTTGCAGAGTCATACCAACTCCTTGCCACCGATCTGGCGAGCTGCAACGAACGATTTTGGGCTCTCGCGCTTGGATTGCCGCGACTAGCACCTATCCAGGGCTTACCGGGAGCAGCTCTTGCACGGAAGAGATTACTGAGAAACTTTGCAAAGCAATTCGAAGACTTGTCGAATCCACCAGTGAGGAGGGTACCAGACGACGATGAGAGCGTGAGCGGAGAAGAAGATACCGACGCCGATGTAGTTACACCGCTCATGAAGCTGAACGAGCTCTTCACCAAGCATGAACTTCCAGCGGAACTACGAGCTTCGATCGGGCTTCACGTAGTGCACGATATCTACTCAGAGGTCATGCCGATCGTATTCTGGACGGTCGTACACATCTACTCTTCATCCAAGGCGGAAGGTGCGAAGGCTCCACAAGATTCGCCTCTTGAGAGGATCAAAGCAGAATCCAAAACCTGGGCTCAAGCCATACAACCTCCATCGATACACCCATCCTTCCCAGCACCGCCAGAGATACGCTACGGGTCAGTGAAGGAAGTGCTTACACCAAACTCGCTATCTTATCTTCGCTCATGCATCAATGAAGCTCGACGCCTATACAACTGCTCTGTCAGCACATATAAAGTCCAGAAATCACTTCATTTGAAAGATGACACAGAGCAATGGGAGCTAGAAGCAGGCTCGTACGTCGATGTGGGCCTCTCTCGATCTCTCAGGAACTCATCACCAACACATCACATCTCACCACGAACCTTCAAGCCCGACCGTTTCGTGGATACCCCAGCGTCATCATCCATCGTTTCGGCCACCGATACCTCGCAATCCTACAAAACCAACCTCATCATTTCCATCGTGTCCGGCATCACCCAACTCTGGGAAATTTCACCTGCGCCAAAGAAGAGCTTCTTCGACCACATCCAAGAAGCAGGGAACGAAGCGTCATTCGGTGCCGAGGCGCCTACTGCAGAGCAAAAAGCCGCTAAAGAGGAAGCGAGCAGGGAGAAAGAAGATGCCAAGCGGAAGGACGCCAAGTGGGTGCTTCCCAAAGCGGTTGATGGAGCGGGAATAAAGGTTCCCAAGGGAGACATCCGGGTCAGGATACGGAGAAGGGAAGGGTTGCCTGCTAGCAAGGTTGTGCGGAGGATTGGTTAGCGTTGATACTGGGGCTCTCACCGGAGCCAACGTGCGTGCATGACCAGCATCGGGGTGTAGATACTAGCCGCGTAATACACACATCGGTATCCAGAGAACTCTATGGTATGGAAGGCTTTGCGGAGCCGCGATAGTATATGCCCGTAAGTATTGACCGTGGCACGGGCCGGTCAGACAACAACGACATGTATCGGACCGTGAAGTGCGTACAGTCAGAGCCGACAAGTAAGCTGGCAAGCATCCAGGTAGCAACCACAAAACACGATCACCATCGACGATGAGAACCACTCTATCCCACCCATGCAGCGCCTATGCAATCCACCTAGTCTGACACTCTCACCCCAGCCCAACCCAACATCTCCACCCACTACTCCACATCCCTCCCCAAACTCTCCACCCTCCCTAACCCAGCTACCCACGATCGATCCCGATGCCCATACTCCCGTACCTGCACGCGTTCGCTGTCGCGAAGTAACGCTGGCTGACGTCTCCCCACCTCTCGTCAAAGTAGCGGTGAAGGCACATTTCTACGATTGAACCAACGTCGAAACCTGAATCAGCAACCACAAACTTGTCCTCTTACCCGCTTCCGCGCGAACTACGCGAAATACAAGACGGCGCAAGGCCACATCATCTCATAACGATCAGCGCGGCCTTGGAAGTCGAGACGCTTCGATTTTGCGTCGTATGTAGGTCATTTGTATTGATTGTCGCATTGGCATTGGCATGCTCGCACACCGCAGGATTGAGGTTCGGAAAGGTCCGCTTCGGCGTGACACTGTTTATCAGAGTTTGGGTTGCAGATCGAAGTTTATGGGATGGGGGTTGTGAGATGGTTAGGGGGGACATCGGAGGGAGGGTTACATAGTCGGATGCTGTTGTGCATGGTGGTCGGACGTGCAGGGTTCGCTGGCGAGTCGTCATCAGAACTCGCTTATTCGTTGTGACGTGCGAGGGCCCCACCCCACACAGTCATTCTGATGGTTGTCGATCCGCTGTAATCAGCTGCCCATTTGCATTGAGGATATATACCATCTAGTTTGGCATTCCTTCATCAAAGCAAAGAGCTTCACAGCCTTCCTAGCTCAGTGGTAGAGCGCGTCACTAGTAACGCTAGATCCGACTTGGATCGAGCTAGTCCCGAAAGGGACGTCACGTGATGACGAGGTCGTCAGTTCAATTCTGGCGGAAGGCAACTTCCTCTTTTGGCCAAAATCTTTTTTTTCTCTAGGCTAGAATGCAAGCAAAGAGCGTGTAGAAGTGGCTGTATAAGTGCGGAAAAGTGTGTGCGTTCATAGCGTGCGTGGCGTCCCTCTTTCCAGACCTCGACGTATACCCCCACAACACTCCCCACTCGCATTGCGCGTGAACATGCTCACTCGAAGCCACATCTCTTTTTACTTATGCCGGCAGCAGGGCTGCGATCGTATACTTGAACAAAAGTGAAGTGTGTGCAGATCATAGTCGCGCGAAAGCCCCTTCTACGTCGCTCTTTCCAGATACCTCTGCACCCCCACAACGCTACTATCATACCAACACACTTGCATTGCGCATGAACATGCTCACTTGAAGCTACATTCCTCTTTGCTCATGCCAACAGCAGGGTTTCGATCGTGTACTCAAACGAAAGCGTCGGGCACAGGCTATTGTTGTGCGAAAGTCACTTCTGGGTCGCTCTTCCTAAACCTCAGAAATCTATACCTCTTTCTAACCTTACAATCGCACTAATCGACCTACTGCTACATGCTTGTACTACTCACAACGTATGTTCACTTGGACTCGCTACCTTCACGACGGCCCTTGCCTAGCAATACCCAATTCCAAGAGGGCAACAGCGCACGCACCATCGACATGAACACCATCGTCATAAGATCCCCTCTATCCTCGACAATCTCGCCTGACATCATTTCATCACAACAATGCCCAGTCACATCATTGCAGTACTGAATTGGAACTCATCAATGTCATTTCCATGATACTTTTCCCGCATGACCTGTTAACACCAGATGCGGATCGTACCCCATGCACGCCATCACTGCCGCGGGATCGCATCAAGGGCATGTTTATCTTTCATTGTAAACACAAACACCTTTGGAATGCCGATATCATGCCGCGGTAAGTTGAAAAGACCCAAGAACCCCTTGCCTATCCAACAAGACCTTATACCTCTTCAAGGACGGTCTCCTTGAACTCGCGCTCAACCTTCTGGCCAGAGTCGTCCTGGCTTGACTCGCCGTGGAGACCGAGGAGGGCACCGAGGTCGAACTTGGGCGCCTTGAGGAGCTTGACCTTTCGGACGTGGACCTGTGCCATGTTAGCCTGTCATCCTCCATTGTCCATGCAACCACATACGTTCTGGAGGGGGTAGATGCCCTGGGTGGCCTTCTCGATCTCGCGACCGATGACCTCGGGGATGAGCTTCTGGGTGAGCTGGGCGAGGGTGCACGAGCTGGCGTCGCGGGCCATGATCTCAACCATCTTCTTGCGGATGGCCCTGATCTGGGACGACTGGGCGTATGTGGTCTTCTTGACCTGGTTCGGTCGGCGCTTGGTGAAGGCGATGCAGAAGAGGCGGAGGAGGTAGTCGTCGGTGGTCTTGACAACGACGTTGGCCTCGATGAGGGTTTGCCACTTGCGGACGAGGGAGCGGAGCTTGTCGGAGGTGAAGTCGAGACCGTGGAAGTTGGTCAGGCAGTTCTTGCCCTGGACCTCGTCGACGCGGAGCTTGACCTTGCGGAAAGCGTGGTCCTCATCCTTCTGGAGATCGGCGAGCGAGACCTCGAATATCCGGCCCTTCAGAGCGTCGTTGGCGTTCTTGAGACCGGTGGTGCGGTTGACGAGGGTCTTTCCGACACTGCAGAGAGCGAAGAGTAAGCATAGAGTCCCCGTGTGGAGCAGCGGGAATTCTTACTCTCGGACGGCGAAAGTTCCTGGCGCCTTGATGTTGTACCAGTCCTTCTTCGCGAAGGTGTCGGTCTTCTTCTTGAGACCCTTCTTTCCCTTTGAAAGACGCTTGTTCTTGCCGACAGCCATGATTGCGAGTCTTGTTGTCGGTCGTGGAAGGGTGGTTGTCGCTGTCGATGTCGGAGACTGAGAACTCGCAAATTGGTGGTGTTCGAAATCGCTTAAGCGAGCCCAGTAGCGCCGCGCATCACGTGTGCCAAGCCTAAAATCGAGTGCGGCAATCAACTGCAGCAACAACGCTCAAGTGCACATCACGGGAAGATCAGCAGTGAATGCTCATGGAAATAGAGGGTGTTGATCGCGTTCGCATGCATTGCGGGCAAGATAGCACTGGTGATGCTGCACATTGGGATCTCTCGAGTCGCCATCTGTGGCGCATGCGATGCTTGCCTTTGCTGCACCATAGTGGCTGTATAATAGCAGGAAGGCGCGGCAACTGCGAGATGCGCATGATATGATATGGTCGTGGCAATAGTTTGGGTAGAAGATGGTGTTGAAGCGACTCCGTGGCCACGCAACTCCAGTCTCGCGTCTCTACCTAGGTACGTCTGCGAAACCCACATCACCTGCATCACTTTGTTCACAAACTAACAATTTGCGCTGCCAAGCAATGTACATATGTTACATTGCTGCGGTTCTATCTACGCAGTTCATTCAGCTGTGGCGGACAGACTAACTACCCATCGCACACGCTAGCACCCCCATCCAAATTCCAGTTACATCTTCGCGTCTTCTCCAGCCACCGTCAGCGAACGTCATCAATGCGATCATCATCGCAGACGAGTTACTGCGTCCAGCATCACGAAAAATATGGATATACATCCTGTAACGATTTCCTTCCTCCTCTTTACATCTCGACATTTATTGTCGCGACGTAGATCCGTTGGTCTGACCCAAATCCATTACCGTTCCCCGTGACAATAGAGACGATGGCCAGATGTATGCCTTCCAACAGCGCAGTTTCCAGATTGGAGACTATCAGCTTGCGGCGACTTGATACAGATTGCTGTACAGTTGCTCATAGAAGAGAACGTGAGTCTGGTAGGTGTAGCGGTGGTATGGCTGGTGTTGTTGATAGAGACGTCTTTGTTGCATGACATCAAAGACTGATGCATGTCCAATCATGTCTTGACGTCAGATCGGTCTTGCTGACCATATGGGTTCTGGTTCTGGCAGAACTTCTCAAAGTCAGGAAAGCTGATGTAGCCGTCTGGAAGAATGTTAGTATTATGCTGCTTCGATCTGACATACTCAGTGCTTACCCTGCTGCCTGTATTGGCGGACGTAGCGGTCACTCTCGGTTCTTGACATGGAAGGCCTCTCAGAAGTGTAGGCCGGTTCCGACTGCAGCCTCGATCGTGGAGTGAGCATCGGGCTTCCAGGTGGCGTCTCGCCTCGAGGTGTAGTAGGCGATGAAGCAACCTTGGCCAGGAGGATGGAGGCCTTGGTCGGGCTACCGGATGTTGATGTTCCAGAGTCCCGTCGAGAGGTTACAGGCACAAGTGTGGTGAGGCATGGCGAAGAAACCGTTGATGGTGTTAGAGGTGGCCGCCGGCTTGCTGAGCGAGATCGTGCAGGTGCCTCAGTAGGCAGCGAGAAGTAGTATCGTGGGTGGCTAGACATGGCGAAGATGTGCGTCGATCGACAGAGAGCGAATGTTAAAGTCGGAGAATTACTGCGGTATGGAATTGAAGAATGACGGAGGGCGGGAACGGGTAGTATGTATAATGGCGTCCAAATCGCCTAGACGCTATTCACCCCATACTACCGAATGCATGTATGTATAGTGACGCCTCTGCTCGTTCCAGGCACCCTGGTCGACGCCAGGTGCATCAGCAGCCCGGAGCTCCCCACTCGACATCGCTGGCCTTTCGGGCTAGTTATGCATGCCGAAGTGGGTACCGCCAGAAAACGTGGACGTTCTGAATTAGTCTGCTTGCAAGGGAGGTGTGCTGTCACGCTTTGACTCGCCCTGACTCGCCCCTGATGCACACAAGACCACCTCACCTCCATTTCTCTAGTCTGGTAGTCTGCTGCGAGCTGCTGCAGGTGTGAGTTGGCCACCGCCGACGATGCGGATGACAATCATGAAACACTTTGTCGCGATTTAGTCGACGATGGCAGCGTACCTCGAGAGCCAAATCGGAAAGGTCGATTTCGCCTTGGATGCGCTTGCGGTGTGGCAGGTCATTCGCGTCGGCCGTTCCTGATTGGCATCGCGCTCCTCGATCCCAGGCCTCGCCGGAAGAGCGGGTGCACAGCCATAGCGGCGCCGTCGCATCCTCAAACCATGGCATCGGCGGATGCAAGCCGCACTCCCAATGAACATCCGTCATGGCTGCGCGGTGATGACACAGCCAGCGCTGCCCTGTTCTCCGCCCAGTTCCCGGCGAGCCTTCCTTGTTGTGTATCAGGAACGTTCGAGAGGGGCACACGTATGCTTATCCACAGCCTAATCTGTTATCGAGTCCAGACGTCGCTGCAGACCACCGTGCGGTTTGTGCGACGAGACAGGTACCGGACTGCAATGAGCCTCATTCATATCGGCCACTTTGTCGGTGACGACATTGTCTCAGCTGAGGGTTTCTATTTCTGCCGTGTCATGCAATGCGGATGACATCCCTTGTCATCGAAAGTCGAGAACGTCGTACTTGCAAGGGCATCCTTCCCCTACTTTCGTGCGATCCGGTTGGAGCATAAAGACACGCGAGAAGACCAACACTTTCGACACCGGTCGCTATTACATAGCCTTTCATAACTACCGATCGCGTGTTTCGATTTCGCATGTCACGTCGGTAGTGTCTTTCCGTGGCATCGCGGTTGAGGGGAAGCCACGTACTCGGCATTCTATCGCTTAGAGACTGCTACGATGCAGGTCATCAATCACCGCTTGTGATGACCAAAAGCCGATTGTTCTTTCTGGAATTACTAACAAGGCAGTCCAGAAATGCAAGAGCTGTTGTTAGAGGCAGTAACTACGAGCGTCCCGAGATCTTCTCGGGACATTGTGAGATGCCTTCAGGGTTTGGTGGGATACATCCCTGGATAGGAACACATCCGCCCCTCCATCTCGTAACTGCAACCAGGCGAATACTATAACCCGTATCTCTATCCGGCAATACTTGGGTTGACTTGTTCTGGAACGATGATTACCTCGCCTCGCTCCACCTCCGCGTCAGCTGCTCTCACATGTTGCCATGCCTTCCGTGAGGAGCGGGCAACGCTCCGATTTGACAGTCCTACTCTCAACGCTGCATTCTCAGCTGGGCGCCTGATCCTGAAGGTTCAACGAAATATTGGTAAAGGACCATGTAAACTGTCTTTGGAAACACGATTACGGCCCTTCTTCTATATCTACGGGTCATCCGATAGGCAGGCCAAAGTTTCGCCCGTTCATCTCGAGAGGCTGATGCAAGAGCCGAAAGTTATCTAGCATCATGCCGTGCTGCCCAGTCCGTCATTGTGTACATACAATGTGGTTAGCCATACCGACGTGCATGCTAGACCCGGGAAGCGGGAACCCCTCCACGCCGTCATAGCCGCGGCCGTTGACCAGCAAGTTTGCAATTCCGCATCCTCATCGACGATACATTCCCATGTACTCTTTTCGGACCGGAGACATCCAGCACTGGGACCCAAAGTTCGCATGCCCCAGCGGCTAGCCATAACACCAAAGGCAACTTTGATGCGTTGGTGTTTCGTGACGGTGCTGAGGCCCTCCTCAACATACCCCTCACTCAAGACACCCTCAGCTCAGACGCCTCTGCCCCAAGTAAATTCTCCGCAAATCCAGACACGCTCCTACGGCAGATCTCGCCGCCGATCCTGTCCGAAAACTAACATACATACCCGCTCAACACCATACCGAGTCTTATGCTGCGTCTCGTTCTTGAGCAAGCGAGTTGAAAAGCGCCTGTCACTGCGGCAACGCAGAAACGGTCGCCGACAGTATGACGAGTTTACCGCCACTATCGTAACCACACTGCACTCCACTTTGCAACTCTACCGATAATCAGCCAACTAAAGCTGACATCTGACCCTCTACGTGCGAACAAATAAAAACACATTCTTTTTGATCCACCCCGTACTCTACCTCACCGAACAACGGCGAAAGCGCAAAGAACCACCACACTAGATCACGATGTCCCAAAATCTGAAACACATCTGAGTGGAGTCGTACGCAGTTCCCAACCACCCACAACCACGCACGCACAAAGAAGCGGTAAGCAGAAAAGGCACCAAAACAGCAAGCAAAGAAAAAAAATCAACGTGTACCAACACCAGCGGTCAACCCAATAAGCGGGCCGCTCCCGGCAATCAATCGGTGTCCTTTGCTCCGTTCACACCAACAGCCCGTCCGTCTCATCCCCCCACTTCCGCTACACACCGAATCCCAACACGTGCACACTTCGACCACAACACCCACATAACAATCCGCATTCTAGACCCTTGATTCCCACATTTCTCGCCTGCCTAACACGTGCAACACACCGGTAGATCGTTATCTCCAAACGAAACGGCGCATCTGCAGCTGTCAGGCCAGGTCATGCGCGGTAGGTGCGGGTAAGGCGACGCGCGGGTGTACCAGGGTGAAAGGAAAACACAGTGACAGGGGCGATGAGGGGCATAGGGGACCGGGTATGCTGGTATAGGGACAGCGATCATAGTAGATGGGAGGAAGTCAAGCGGGAGGTTTTGTGCTGTTGCGGTTTAGTGGCGGTGCCAATGTATGCATGAAGTGACAGGGCTTGGGGCGTTTTCTTTCACGTGTGTTATGCGAGTATGACTGGAATTATGAGGTGGATTTGCGTGGTGGGGGATGTGTATGGTAGCCGGTGGGTGTTTTGGCGATGGGAACGCGGTATGCGGAGGGAGGCGTGTGGACTGTGGATACGTGTGTTGAGGGGACTTGATGGTAAGCGATTGGTTGGGGGGTGGTGTTGTTGGATTGGACGGTGGCTTGGCGCTATCTGCACGTGAAGATGGTGGTAGAAGTATCGCATCGATCATCATATAGAGATGATACAGTAAATGTGTAAGCACGATCAAAAGTGAAGTAGTTTGAAGTGGCATGATGTATTGTGTTTTGACAGTGCAGTTCTTTCTATGTACTATCATTACATGTCGAGATAGGCAATTCGCTCTGTACCGCTAATGGTAGCTTACTCCTACAACATGTCACCTCGTTCATGTCATCCGAGTTCTTCAATGCTAGATTGAGGTCAGCATGGGTTCATGAGGAGTCACCAGTTGCACATACGTCGACGTCGTCCCAACCACGACCCTTTACGTTTGCCAACTCGTCCATCGACATAACGTGGCCAGTTGTGACTGCGACATCCTGTTAGTAATTGCCCAGAGCATCAGAGGGAGTAAAAACATACAGTAGCCAGCTTGAATCTTAGCATCAATCTCGACACGACTATCCGCCGGGATCATATCGTCGGGAATGGGTACACGCTCATGGATAGGAATGCCTTGATCGACAATAGCATCGTGCTTCATGTTGGACATGCTGAGCATCCTGTCAATCTTGGTGATACCCAACCAGTGTAGGATATCTGGCATCAGAGCCTGGAAGCGCATGTCTTTGACACCGGCAATGTTCTCAGTGCGCTTAAAGTACTCGCTGGCACGATCTTCGCCTCGCTTTCTGGCGTTGTAGACGAGGTATTTGGTGACCTCGCCAAGAGCACGGCCTTCCTTACGGAAGTAGATGACAACACCGCTGCCACCCTTCTGGGCCTCTTTGACTGCTTCTTCGATACCGAAAGTCAGGTAGGGACGGCATGTGCAGATGTCAGATCCGAAGACGTCACTTCCGTTGCATTCGTCGTGGATACGGAGGGCGAGCTTCGCACTGGGGTCGGACATCTTTGCTGGGTCACCGAAGATGTAGACTGTTAGACCGCCAATAGGAGGGAGGAAGAGCTTGATGTCGTGACGGGTGATGAGCTCTGGGTAAGAACCACCGGTTTCTTCGAACAATGTCCGGCGTAAAGTTCCCTCGTCTTTCGAATACGTTAGTGGATGTAGTCAGAAATGCGTTTCGACCCACTTACCAATGTTGAAACGCTCGGCAACACCAGGCAGGTACCATACAGGCTCGACTGCGACCTTGGTGACCGCAACCTCACCAGTCTCGTTGACGCAAATCTTGCCATCGGGAACGAGCCTGCCTTTCCTTACACTCTCCTCCAGTTCTGGCACTTTCATGTGTGCTCTGGTGATGGCAATGGTAGGTCTGATCTCAACATCATCCTTGTCCATAGTTTCCTTGTACAGCCAGGGTGCGAGATGGCCGTAGGGGTCCATGGCCACGATCTTCTTTGGGTCGCTCCATTGCGGGAAAGGACCAATCTTCGCGGCAGGTTCAGTGTTGGTGAAGTCTGGCTTGTGTGTGATGTCGAGATTCTTGCTGGCAACAGCAAGGGCATTGTAGATGGAGTATGAGCCACCATGAGCACCGATAGCTACGAAATGTTAGAAACTAAATGTATAGTCGTTTAGATGTACGTACCGTTACGTCTTCGGATAGTGTTCGCATGTCTTGACACAACGACAGGGCCACGAACAGCAGGGTCCTTGGCACCCCACTGCATTGGCAACGGGTCGACACCGGC